AAGCAGTGGTATCAACGCAGAGTACTATCAAGCTTCCTAATGGTTATGAATACGATAAAGATATGCTGAAAGAGTTTGATGCACTCAACAAAGAAACTAATTTGTCGCAAGCTCAAGCGAATAAGTACATGGAGTTTGGTATTAAACTTGCTCAAAAACATTCCGGAAATATTCCGGCAATATTAAAGCAAGTACAACAAGCTAAAGTTACTCAATTCCAACAAGCTCTAAACACAGACAAAGAAATCGGTGGCGGTGATAAAGCTAAAATGGATGCTTATCTTGATGTTGCAGATAAAGGCTATACTGCCTTTGCCAATGATGAAGTGAAATCCGCTCTTGCAGAAGTCGGTCTTAATTACCATCCGGCTATTGTAAAGATGTTTCATAGAATTGGTAAACTTGTTGGAGATGATAAAATTTTTGCTCCTAGAACTCCATCCGGAACTTCTAATGATGCAGCTGAAATAAGCAGTGGTATCAACGCAGAGTACTAATGGTAATTAAAAAGTAAGTAATAGCAATTTAAGAAAAGGAGAAAATGAAAATGGCTACTATCGGAAAAAACTTTTTAACATTGAAAGACATGTACTCTCAAATGGAAGGTGATGGAAAAGTTACTGCTGCGGTAATTGATTTATTTGTATCTTCAAATGCAATTTTGGAAGATGCTATTGCCGTTGAATGTAATGAAGGAACTCACCACAAAACAACTGTAAGAAATGGTTTACCACAACCACAATTCAGACAATTCTATCAAGGTGTTGAATGTCAAAAGGGTGATTACACTCCGGTTGTTGATGATACTGCTATGCTAGATGATTATAGTGAAGTAGATAAAAAGTTAGCTGACATCAACGGAAACACTGCTCAATTTAGATTAAATGAAGCAGAAGCTCATATTCAAGGTATGAATAAAACAGTTAAAACAAATATCTTCTATGGTGCTAAAGGTAAAAATGCTTCTTCATTTAATGGTCTTGCTAATCGTTATAACAAGATTTCAGCTAATGAAGGTGAAATGGGTTATCAAGTTATTGATGCCGGCGGTACCGGAAATGATAACACTTCAATTTACTTTGTAACTTGGGGTGATAGACACACTCACATGATTTATCCAAAAGGCTCAAAGCTGGTATTCAAAGAGAAGATAAAGGTCAAGTAACTGTTCAAGATGCTCAAGGTAGAAACTATGAAGCATATAGAGATTACTTCTCTTGGGATTTAGGTTTATGTGTTCGCAACTACCGTTCTTCTGCTCGTATTTGTAACATTGATGTTTCAGATTTAAAAGGAGAAAATGCGGCTGATTTAATTGATAAGATGGTTGAAGCATATTATAGAATTGAAGAACATGCCGTTAATGGTAAAACTGTAATCTATGCTAACAATACTGTTAGAACTGCATTACACAAACAAGCTATGGCAAAAACAAATGTAAACTTAACTATTGATGAATTTGCCGGAAAACCAATTGTAAAATTCTTGGGTATTCCTATTAAGCCTGTTTCTGAAATCTTAAATACAGAAGCAAGAGTTAGATAATTTTCTTGGCTGATGATTTGGGGAATGAGTTTTGAGGATTTACTCTCTTAAATCCTCGTATTTATAGTAATGAAAAAATAAAGGAGAAAATATTATGAGATTAGATAGTCAAGCAATCTTTTCAGATGCTCAAGCAATTACTGCTAATTGTGCATCAACAAATGTAGTTCAAATGGCTGCCGGTCAACTTAAAGAAGTTGCTTTTGGTAAACCAATTCCGCTTTTAATTCAAGTTGTTGAAGAATTTAATAACTTAACATCTTTAAAAGTTGGTGTTCAAACTTGTGCTACTGATAACGGAACATGGACAACTTTAGAAGAAGCAACATTAAATCTTGCTGATTTAAAAGAAGGAAAGAAATTCCCTATCGTTAATGTTCCTGCCGGTAACAAAGGATTTATGAGATTGTATTATACAATTGTTGGAACTAATCCAACAACCGGTAAAATTACTGCCGGTATTGTTGATGCTATCGGTAACAGTTACGAAGCTATGTAATTTATTTTTCGGATGCGGATTTGATAATCTGCATCCGGATTTTTAAAAGATAAGGATTGAAAAATGGAAGAACAAACTTTAAAATAAATGTTTCTAAAGATGAGCCTAAACCAAAATATGATGAATGGGATATTAAAGATGCGGTTAGAACTCTCATAAGAGCGGAAGAAATAAAAAATGATGCTGAACTTATGAGCCTTGTTTCTCCGGAATTAGAGAAGCAAGCAAAAGCAATTAAATCCGCTGCGGAAATTCTTTACGGAAACAAGGAAGAAAAAGGAGAATAGAATGGCTAAAATTACAATCAAGGTAACAAAAACCGCTTTCTATAATGGAAGATTGGTTTATCCTAATGAAATTATAAAAGGTTATGATGGTGCTTGTCCTTCATGGGCAACTCTTGCCGGTGTAAAGAAATCGGAAATAATGCTCCTAAAAATCAACAATCACAAATTCCGGATGGTAAAAAAGATGGCTTGGACAATGTTGGACAAGGTGAAGGAGAAGGAACTGAAACCGGTAATGAAAATGGTGAAGGAGAAGGAACTGAAACCGGTAATGAAAAATGGTGAAGGAGAAGGAACTGAAACCGGTGAAGAAGATGGTGAAGGCTTGGACAATGTTGGACAAGGTGAAGAAGGTGAAGTTATTGTTGCCGGTGATGGCGGTGTTCATGTAATTCCGGAAGATGAAGCTAAACTTCAAGAAGAATTAGAAGCTCTTTTAAATGAAGGAATTGAAAAAGGAATTATTCTTGAAGATGCTGATAAAAAAACAATTGCTGAACAAGTTGAAGAAATGAAAAAATTATTAGGAAAGGAATAATATAATTATGTGCATTATTACAATGACCGCTTTGGGAACTGCTTTGGGGATGTCTGCCGCTGCTATATCTTCTGCAACTGCCGCATCTGCTGCCGGTGTATCTTTATTGGGTGTTGCTACCGGTGTTGCTAATGCTGCTTTAGCCGTTGGGGTTGTTGGTGGTATTGCCGGTGGTGCTATTGGTGCTGTTTCCAATTATACACAAGGGAAGCAGCAACAAGCATACTATAATTATCAAGCTCAAGTTGCTCAAGAAAATGCTAAAATTGCGGAACAAAATGCGGCTCAAGAAAGACAATCCGGTATTGAAGAAGCAAGGATGCAAAGAATAAAAACATTACAAGCAATAGGAAGTCAACAAACTGCTATGGCTGCCAATGGGATGGATGTAACTTCCGGAACTTCTTTAGATATTATTGAAGATACTTCCGCTATGGGTGAACTTGATGCTCTTTCAATTCAATATAATGCGGAGAAGAAAGCTCTTGCTTATGAACAACAAGCAAATAATTTTCAAAATCAATCTAACCTTGATGTTATTTCGGCAAAAATGCTTATTCTGCCGGAGTTATGAATGCAGCTTCAAGCGGCTTGAATGGCTTGGGTAAATTAACCGGAGTTGCTAAAAAGTGGTCTGGGTTTGGGTCATAGGATAAGGAGAAAACAATGGCATATTCAAAAGTAGGTATATTTAATATGGCTCTTAACCATCTTGGAATTACTGCTCCAATTTCAACAAACAGTATTGATAAAGATACAAGAGCTATTATTTTAAACAATTTTTATGAAACTGCAAGAGATGAAGTTTTAAAGGCTTTTGATTGGGGTTTGCAAATTCTTATAAAGATTTAACTTTATCAACTGATATTTCTCCTAATCCTAAATATCCTTTTGTCTATGATTGTCCTAAAGCAGTGGTATCAACGCAGAGTACTCATTGACACAATAAAAGGAGAAGAAAAGAAATTTGAGCCTTATTCAAATTCTTTAGGAGAGAAATCACTTCTTGCGGATATTGAATGTGCAAGATTGAGATATACAAGAAGGGTAGATAAAGAAGTAATGTTTGAGCCGGAGTTCGCTATGGCTTTAACTTATTATCTTGCAGCTCTTGCCGGTGAAACAATTACCGGAACACAAAAGAGAGCTGATAGTTGTATGCAAAAATATGAATGGAAATTGAGTAAAGCTAAAAGACTTAATGCTCAAGAAGGAGCTGCGGATGATGAAGATAATACTCAATATTATGATATGAGGTAGTAATGGTAAGTTCAAGATTAACACAAACTAGCTTTTCAAGAGGTGAATTATCTCCGGCTCTTTATATGAGAACTGAAATTGAACAATATTCTCTTGGCTCTAAAAAAATTAAAAATGGTTTTATTCATCAAGAGGGTTGTGTTTCTAATCGTTCCGGTTTAGAATTTTGTGAAGAAGTAAAGAATAGTAATAATGAAACAAGAGTATTAGATTTTTGTTTCAACTCTGAACAAACTTATATCATTGAAGCCGGTGATAAATATTTCAGATTTATTCAAGATGGTGCATATATTGTTTATCCGGATGATTGGAGTGAAACTAGCAAAAGAGGACAAGTTGTTGAAATTACTACTCCTTATGCAAAAGAAGATTTATTTGAACTTAAATTTGTTCAATCCGCTGATGTCTTAACAATTACTCACATGAATTATCAAGCTAGGGAATTGGCTAGATATAGTCATTATGATTGGAGATTAAATCCAATAGCAATACAACCTTGTATTGCTGCTCCTACAAATGTAAAGGCAACATGGACAGGCTCAACATCTTCCAATGCTAGAGATTATACTTATCTCGTTACTGCGGTTGATAAAGATACTCTTGAAGAAAGTAAAAGGTCTGCTACTGTTACTGCTAAAGGTCATAGGGAAGCATATTGGACAACATCTGAATATTTTACGATTACTTGGAATGCCGTTCCTAATGCTGCTGAATATAATATTTATAGAAGTGTGAATGGTATATTCGGTTATGTTGGAACTGCGGAAGGTACATCTTTTACGGATGATAACATTGAGCCGGATTTAAAAGAAGCTGCTCCAATATATCAAAATCCGTTTAGTAATAACAACAATCCTTCTTGTGCAACTTATTTCCAACAAAGAAAAGTTTATGCTAATAGTCTTTATAATCCTCAAACTTTTTGGGCATCACAATTAGCAACTTCAAATAACTTTAATATTTCAAGACCTCTTATTGCTTCTGATGCAATAACTCAAACTCTTGCGGATAGAGAAGTAAATGAAATTAGACACTTAATAGGATTAAACCATTTAATCGCATTAACTTCTAATACTGAATATAGGATAAATGGCTCTGATGGAGTTTTTCAAGCTAATCCTTCTCCGGTTGCAACTGTTCAATCAAATTATGGAGCTTCTCATGTTCAACCGATTATATCCGGTAATATGATAATATTTGTTCAATCCGGTGGCTCTGTTCTTCGTGATTTGGGTTATGATTATCTTACTGATAGTTATAATGGGTCTGAATTATCTTTATTTGCATCTCATTTATTTGAAGGGAAAACAGTTAGATATATGGCTTATGCAAAAGAGCCTTATAGAATTATTTATTTGGTTTTCTCTGATGGTAGTTGTGCATCATTGACATACAATAAAAATCAAAAGATTTGTGGATGGGCTAGAGAAGTTACTGATGGATTTTTTGAAAGTGTTGCTACAATTCGTGAAGGTTTGGAAGATGTTGCTTATTTTGTAATAAGAAGATATATAAATCCTACTTATCAAGGAAGTTTTGAATTATTCAATAGTGAAAAGAATAGCTCCGGTGCTATGGTTTATGAATATAGATGCGGAAATAATAATTATTATTCAACTACTCCTTTTGAATTGGGTGTTGAAGTTTATTCAGATATTTCACTTAAAAATAAAATTGGTGTTATCAATGTAATAAATGAAGATGAGAAAAATGTTACAATTGGCGGAACTCTTAAAAGATTTATTGAAAGAACAAAGAGCAGAATAATTAAGAAAACTCAACAAGGATTTTTTGTTGATTGCGGAAGAAGTGCTTCTTTTAGTGAAGGTCATAAAGTAATATCCGGATTAACAAATTTAGCCGGAAAAGATGTTGTTGCTCTTGCTGATGGTGGTGTTATTGAAAATCTTCATGTTGGCTCTGATGGTAGAGTTACTTTACCTTTTGAAGTTAAAGAATTAACAATTGGACTTCCTTTTGAATTTATTCTTGAAACATTGAATATTGAAGGTGAAAACACACAAGGATTAAAGAAAATGATAAATAATGTTTGTGTGAATATTGCAAATTCAAGAGAAGAATTTTTCATTGGTGGCTCGGAAGGTTTATATGTTCCTACTGATAGAAGTCTTGAAAGTGTAAATGATAGTAATGCTTTATTCTCAAGCATTGTTTCAGCTACTCCATTCAATTCTCCTACTCCGGATGCAACTGTTATAGTAATGCAAAATAAACCATTACCACTAACAATACTTTCTTTGAGTGCTACTTTTAGTATTGAAGATATATCAGATACTCAATAGGAGAAATTATGAGAAATAATTCAAGAAGATTAGTTGTAAAAATTAAAGATAAAAATGTAAAAGAAAAAGCTAAAACAAAAAAGAAAGAACTTCAAGGAGAATAAATGTACGAAAAGGAAAAGAATGAAAAGGATATTCTTTACATTCTTGAACATTTAAAGCCGGAAGATGAGCATGAAGCAATTACACAAAAAGGTGAAAACTACAAAGATATTATTTTAAAAGAAATTATGAGCAATTGCTCTAGGACTTTTCTAGGATGCAAGAAGTCGGATGATACTCCGGTTTGTGTTGGTGGTTATACTGATACAAATGAAAAAGGAATTGGAATTGTTTGGCTGCTTTCAACTCCGGAAATTGAAAATAATAAAACTTGCCTATTAAGAAATATTGTAATGGCATTTAAAGAAATTGATGAAAAATATTGGTTTACTTGCAATATGTTATTTTCTGAAAATCAATTTGCGAAAAAATGGCTCAAGAAAATAGGATATAAATTTGACAATCCGCATCCGGAAGGAATTGATATACCGGAAGGATTTGAATTTTTTTATAGGATTAGAGAAACGAGAGGATTAAAATAATGGTAACAATACCGCAATATAATAGAAGTGTTCAAGCTCAAAATACTCCTTATGCTTATATTCAATCTAATGCTACTCCGGATGCTTTTGGAGTTGGTGTTTCTAAAGCTGCTCAAGGTATGGGAGAAGCTCTAGTAAACAACTTGGATAATATTGCAACTTTAAAAGCTGAATATGATAAAACTAAACTTATTGAATTTAGCAACTTTATTGATAAATGGTCTAATGAAAATCTTTATGATAAAGATAATGGTTATTTTAATAAGACCGGCAAAGATGCTATGGGAAAATCTCCGGAGATGATGGAGAGCTTTGATAAGTATGCGGATGATTATATTGCTAAAGCCGGTTTTGTTGGAAATTGGAATAATAGAGCTAGACAACTTGTTGAACAAAAAAGAAATACAATTGAAAGATATGTTGAAGCTCATGATAAAAGTGAAAGTGATAAATGGCAAGAAGCGGTTTATACTGATGCAATTACAAACATTTTCTCAAGAGCCGTTCAAGGTAGAAACAATCCTAATGATTTGGCTATGTTTTATAAGGATGGAGAAACTCTCCTTGCTAACTATGCTCAATTAAAAGGATGGGATAAAGATGCTGAAATGTTAGCAATTAAGAGAAAAGAATTTGAAGGAAGTTTTCATTCTCAAATTCTTGATGCTTATTTAGCGGAAGGCTCTTTGAAAGCAAGTGAATATTATAACAAATACAAAGATAAATTCACTCCGGAAGTACAAAATAAATATTTATCAAAAGTGCATACGGAAGAAGTTAATTATGCTGCTAGAGTTACTGCTGCTAATTTAGTTAGTAAAACTCCGGAAGAAGCATACAAATATATTGATAATATCAAAAACATTGATGTTAGAAATGCTACTGAAAGTGAATACAATAGGCTTTTAAGACATCAAGAAACTATTCAAAAACAAAATGATATGAAGCAATCTAATGAAATAATGCAAAGAGTTTATGCTGCTTATGATAATGGCGGTGATATTTCTAGCATTATGAGAGAAGTAAACATATCAAATATGTCTTTGGAAGAAAAAGAAAAGATTTACAAAAATATTAAAACTATGCAAGAGCTTGAAGGAGTTGGAAACAATTGGGCGGATTATAATATCTTGCTTGATATGGCGGTAAACAATAATGAAGATTTTAAACAAGTTAATCCGGCTCATTACAATTTAACAAAAGAGCAATATAACAAAATTGTAGATATGCAAAGAAAATCTGCAAACAATGAATACACTCCGGAAGTTGATATGAAAAAAGCTATACAAGATATAGGACTTGGCGGCTTCAATGTTTTTCAAACTAATAGCGGCTTGAAGATGGGTGAGTATGAAAATGAAGTTGTTAGATTTCTTTCTAAAGTGGAAAGGATGCAAGGACAAGCATTTAATTTCAAAGATAAAAAACAATTAGAAGCAATTCTTGCCGGATTTAATTATAAAGATGAAAATGCGGTAAATAAAAATATTGATGAAACAAGAGAACTTTTTGCTAGAGCTAAAAAACATGGAGAAGTTTATGATTTGATGGCTAGAGATTACATGGCTTTCAAAGGTCAAAATAAAAGAGAGCCTTCTCCGGAAGAAATTTATGAGATGGCTAAAAGGTCTTACAATACAATTGAAAGACAATGGAAAGAAAGAGATTTTGGAAAACTTCAAAATAATGAAGCTATCTACAAAAATGTTTCTTCAACATCCGCTAAAAAAGGAGAAACGAAAGTTTTAACTTACTATGCTGATGTTAGAATACCTCAAATATCAAGGGAGATAGGTGTTCCGTTACAAATTACTTCAAGATATAGAGCCGGTGATAGTGGCGGTCATGGCAAAGGAAGAAAAGTTGATATTGGTATGGCTGCATTAAATCCATCTCAAAGAATGATTGCTTTTGAAAGAATGTTGTCTGACCCTGCGGTTGCATCAATCGGAACTTCTGACCCAATTCTTTTAAAGAGATACAACAATCCGGCTAATCCTAAAATAAGAGATTTAAGAGAATATGATACTAATTACAAGAAGAAATATCCTTCTACTTCAATGAACCATGTAAACCACATGGATATATCTTTTGATACAAGATATGGCGGAGATGTTCAAGGAAAATAGTTAGAATTTTGTTAATAAAAAGAGGTTTATAATTTATGTTTAATACAATTCCTAATACTCAAGGAAATCCTATATTTAGTAGTTATTCAGTTAGGTCTGCGGACTTCAATGAAAATATGGATGATTATGTAAAAGCTCCTAATGAACTTTACATTGAAGAACAAAAAAAGAAAGCTGCTGCAACTCCTAACAAGAATATAAATAAAGATGCAATTGATGCAATTCCGGATATGCCGGATTTTCTTAAAGAGGAAAGAAATGAGATTTATAAATTGCCGGAATGGCTTGATAAATTGAATGTTGTTTCTCCGGATGAAATTGAAGAATGGAAGAAAAAAGGCGGAATGGGAATTGCGGAAGCATGGGAAAGAAATAACAAATGGGCTTCTTTCGCTCCGTATATAAACACTACTAAAGATGCTGCTGATGCAATTACTGTATCAGTTTTATTAGATAGAGCAAAAAAAGGAGAAGAATTAACTTATGAACAACAAGAAAAACTTGTTGATTATTTAAGAGATGTGAAAGAGCTTCAAGTTCGTGGATTTACTTTTGGCGGTGGAGCGGTCAATGGAATTTTAGCAACAATTCCATACCTTGAAGAATTTGGGATTGGCTTGGCTGCATCTGCGGAAGGTGTCGGACTTGCATCTTTAGGAAAAACTCTTTCAAGTATTGGAGCTAAAAAGGCTGCAAGAAAAGCGGTTGAAACTGCATTAAAAGAAGCTGCTATTAAATCAGCTGCTCCGGCTGCGGTTAAAACAACTGTTCCTCTTTCTGCTGCAAAAAAGATTTATAAAGATACTCTAACAAAAACAACAATGAATAAAGCTCTAGTGAATGTTGGAGCTAAAGAAGCATTAAAAGAAACCGGAAAAGCTATGCCTTCCGTAGTTGCTTCTTCGGCTTTATTTGGTGTTTCAAAAATGCCTCATGCATTTATGGGTGGGATTGCAGATAGACAAATTTCAAGCGGTGTTTATGTTACTGATGCCGGTGATGCGGTGTTTACTTCTTCTGAACATCTTGCAACTTCAATAATGAAATCTCTTGGAGATGTAACTTTTGAAGCTCTTACGGAAACTGCCGGATGGACTTTCTCTCCGGTTGCTAGTTATTTTGCTAAACCGGTACAAAAAATGTTACCTAAAAAATTCTTTACTGAATTTGATAAACTTGTTTCTTCTCGTTATGGTATGCCGGCAGCTAATGCTCTTAAAAAATATGGCTATGATGGTGTTATAGAAGAAATGGGAGAAGAAGTTTTAAACCGCTTCTTATGTCAAACTTTCGGCTTGAATGGACTTGATGAATATAATTTTGATGGCTTCATGAATAATGTGTTCTATGCAAATGACCCTTCTCAATGGCTTCAAGAAGCTATCTCTTTTGCTGCCGTTGGCGGAGCCGGTCATGTTGTTGCCGGTACATCTTCCAAAGTTGCGGATGAATGGAATAAGAAAAAATATAATGATGATGTTAAGAAATTAACTGAATATGCTAATGCTAATGAAGCTGAAAGATTATTATTAAATCAAGAATTGAGAAATAATCATTATAAAAATAATCCTATGTCTTTGGAAGAATTTTATCTTAATCAAGGTTTAATAAAAATTGAAGGCTCTCAATCTTTAGCGGAACAAAAGTTGAGAGAATATTGGACATCTCAAAATGTTGAGCAAGGCTTGCAAGATGATGTATTGAGAAATATGTCTGAATTAGAAAAAAGAAATGAATTAAAGAAAGCTATTGAAAATCAAGTTGCGGATGAAACTCCGGAAACTGCAACGGAAAGAATTGAAAAAGATTTAACTAAAAAATTTATAGATAATAAAACTTTCTCAAAAGATGAGAAAGCTAATACTGTTGCTAATTTATTCTCTCAAGCATTATATAAATTGAGTGCTACAACCGGAACTTCTATTGAAGAAATTATGGAAAATGAAATGCCGGAAATTCAAAGAGAAGCGGAAGAAGCTCAAAAAGAAAACGGAAGATATATTCAAACTGATGGAAGAATTGAAGAAATTATTGATGAAATAGGAAACCTTCCGGATGATTTTGATAATGCTGAATATATTGATGGATTGCTTAAAGAAGCTGATATTCTTGGAAAAATTAGAGAAGGTGGATTGAGTGAAGAAGATTATGGAACAGTTGAAAGTCTTATTAAATCTCTTGATAATTCCGGTGAAGAAAAATTTGCCAATGAATTAAGAGAGCTAGTTTATAATCAAACCGGAAAATTATTTCAAGCGGCTTATCATGGAACTCCTCATGATTTTGA